ATACTTGAAAATAACTCACATTGTATGAATTCAATACTGTGACCCATTCATTCAGTAGAATTTTCTAAGGGCTGCTGTATCATCATCCAATCTTTGATGGACATATGAAAGACACTGATGCTTACTTCTTACTGTGCACTGGCCTGGCCCTTCCTTGAAAACCAGCTTGAGGGCTGACTATGACACTTATATATTACATTTTGCATTCTCTTCATCCCTGGTCCACGGCAAACCTGAATGACGTTCTTCACCACACTGGTGAAGTAGTTAGGGAATGAGTCACAGCAGTGAGTAAAATAATTAATGTCATTTAACATGCATCACTTAATTAGGGAGTAATATTGGGAGCAAAAGAATAGGCAGACCGTGACCAAATGTGGGCAGGGATGACTATGGCACCCTCCAGAATGAGGTAGACGATCATGCCAGGTAAAAGGGCTCTGGGCTGAGTGGATGGCTTAGTAGGTAGAGCGGCTGATTTGGAAGTGTGAGGACCTGAGTTTTATCCCAGAATCCACATTAAAAAATTCCAGTGCTCACTTTGGCAGCACATATACTAAAATTGGAACAATACAAAGAAGATTAATAAGGCCCAAGTGCAAGGATGACACGCAGATTCATAATTCATGAAGTGTTCAATATTTTCACAAGCGAACCCACAGAAACAACTTATATGGGTTCATAGGAGCTCACAAACTCTGAACTGACAGCCAGGGAGCCTGCATGGGACTGACCTAGCCCCCCCTACACATGTGTGACAGTGATGTAGCTTGGTCTTCTTGTGCGACTCCTGCTAGAGGGATCTGGGCCTGTACCTAACTAACACTATGGTTGACTTTTTCCTAACACTGGGTTGCTTTGCCCAACCTTAATACAAGGAGAGGAGCTTAGTCAATTTGATACACCATGCTTTGTAGTCACCCATGGGAGGCTTGTCCCTTTATGAACAGAAACAGAGGAAGAGTGGGTTGGGGGGACAGAGAGGAGGTAGGTGGGGGGAATGGGAGGAGAGGAGGAAGTGGAAACTGTGGTCAGTAAGTAAGATAAATGAAAATTGTAATTAATAAAAACTATAAAAAATTCCTAGGCATGAGGGTTGGTACATGTAATCCCTGTGTGGAGGAAGCAGAGGCAAGTATATCCCTGAGTTCACTAGACAGCCAGCTGAGCATATTGTCTTAGTTTGGATTACTATTGCTGTTGTGAAACACTGACCAAAAGCAACTTGAAGAGGGAAGAGTTTATTTCAGCTTACGACTCTCAGGTCACACTCCATCACTGGGGGGGAGTTGGGGCAAAGGCTGTGCAGGAATGCCGCTTACTGGCATGGTCCTCATGGTCCACTCAGTTTTCTTTCTTATACAGCCCAGGACTACATGACTAACCGTATCACTACCCACAATGGGCTGGGTCCTCTATCATCATCCTTAATCAAGTAATGTTGGACTGATTTGCCTACAGGTCAATCTGATGGAGGTATTTTCTCAATTAGGATTCCCTTTTCCCAGATATATTTAGGCTCATGTCAAGTTGACAAAAACTCTCTAGGACACCTACTTATCTAGTGATATCCTGGCCAGTGAGAGGTCCTGTTTCAAAAAAGAAAAGAAATGAAAAGACAACCCACCAACAAATCAACAAGAATAACCCCCCCCCCAAAAAAAACCCTAACCAACTAACCACCAAACAAACAAAAATCTCAAGGTGGATGGAATCTGAGCAAAGACAATGGAGGTTGTTACACACACAGACACACACACACACACACACACACACACACAGACACACACAGACACACAAGGAGAGACAGAGAGAGAGAGAGACAGAGACAGAGACAGAGACAGAGCTTAGAAGCTAGAGGAGACTCCTTGTATCCTTGTAGCTCAATCCCTTACCCTGACTTATTTTGGTTTGCACAGTAGCTTTGGAACATCAGCCGCTCCAGCATAGGAAGTTGCCCTCACCCTCGGAGGAGGCAGTCCCCACAGGGACACAGGGGTGGAGAGGAGGTGCGGACCCTGGCTGTTGAAAGCTAAGCAACACAAGCATCCACTCACGTCTTCTCCAAGACATGAAATCCGCCTTCAGCTTATTTACCTGAGAATGAATTTCACTTTGAAGAGGCCTTTATGTCGCTGGAGATGAGGCAGTGGAGATATAAGCCATTTGAACAAGGGTACTGCACATTTGTCTTTATAACAATTTGTGTGTAACAGCTTTTATGCAAATGATGCTAAAGTGGCACCTTTTTTTCTAAATTGGACATTTTTATGGTTATAATTTTCTTCTGTAATAACACCAAAAAAAAAAGAAGAAGAAAGAAAAGGAAGAAAGAAGTTAGGAGAAGAAGATGATGAAGAAGGCTGTCCCTGTGGGCTGGAACATTTCAACTTCCAGCACCCTCTCATAAAGTTAGGGTGACAAGTTTCTTTCATTTGCCCCAACATTGACAAAAGGGTGCTCTCTGTCTCCGTCTTCCTTCTTTCAGGGAGGTTAAACTTTAGGTGCCCCCATCAGCAACCCTTGGCACTGGGAATGATCTGGCAAGTGTCTCACCCAGCTTCCAACCTCCCTCCCCCCAGTCCTTCCTCTCCCAAGGTGAGAAGCTCCAGCTACAGGATTGGATTTCAGTTTCAGCACTTGTTCTGTCTTTCACATTCATCCCCACTTTCCCCCAAGTCAGACAGGTGACTTTTAGAAACAATAGGGTTTAATTGACTTTGATACAATTGGATTTATATACAGTATTCTGGGCAACTATCCCAAGGTACTCATAGAATAATCCACATTATTGTTGCTTAATCGACCGAAAATTTTTGCAGAGGCAACAGAAGACGGTGTATATTTCAAACAATGACTTAAATTTACCCAAGGACTCAGCTAAACAATATATATAATTTGTGGCGGTGGAGGCCTTTGGGATGGGTACAGCTAGAAGGTCGTAGCAAGCGGTGGAGAGGCGGGAAAGACAGAGGTGCTGGGAGGAAGTAGAACAGACAGTGATGGTTTTTGAGCCTGACCTTGGAGGAGTTGATTTTTCTGTGCTTTGGTTCTGCAGTTTTAAAAAGAGGGTTCTTTCCTGACAGTTAAAAACTGTAAAGACAATGGTTTGAAAGGATTGTGTAAATGCATCACTGGGACTTGCTGCAGAGCACATATGTGGTTTGGGAATTTGGAGGGAGTGAGGGAAGGAGACTCTAAGAGGCAAGCTGGTGACAGCGTGTACACTCCAGGAAAGAGACTAGAGCATAGCTTTAGGACACCTGGCATCTAAGGCAGGTGCACAGCTCTCCAGATATATGACACTCGAGACAATGTCTGCTCATTCCCAACTTCTATCTTCATAAGTCTAGCATGGCTGGATCCACACACCTCTGATGGGGTAAGCCACTCACAACATAATTGTGTCCCCATCCTAGCAGTGACATGGTCTAGGAAGGCCCCAGTCAAGGCACTGGCTGACTTGATAGCTGATATTTCTCACCTCCAGGATGGCACTTTCTGAGACTTCACATGGTGGAAGGGGCAAAAGGGCTGCACTGATCTTTTTTTAGAGGGGTTAAAATTCCAACTGTGAGCATGGGGCTTCAGACATAGCCACTCCCCTGAGTACTGTCTGTTAATATTAGCACAGGACAATCTAATAAATGTCAGATTATGGAGGGTGTGTGTAGACGCAGCCAGAGGTCTGCCATCCACTTGTCAGAGGGAGCCAGGCAGACATGCTGTCTTGTAAGGTTCTTAGGAAAAAAGAGGACCATTGCATCTCTAAATTGATGTTTATGGCATTATTGATACAGGGCCCCCTTTCTTTTCATCATTGATCTGATTTTATAAAGCCATACAGAAGACACACTCAGGTTGTCAATAGCACCCTTGCTAAAGGGTATTCACCAAGATAAAACGCGGTAGGCATTCCTTGACTTTCACTGGCATTCGACACCTAGGCTACCTGGCCCTGGGAAGTCCTGGGCAGACCCTGGAGATCAAGAGAGGGGCAAGATGTGCTCTCTGTGCCCAGACAGCTCAGGGTTTAGTTAGCACAGGGCTTGGTGGGGAGGAAAGGGACGCATGAGGTCACACATCTCTCCACAGTCCTTGGGACAGTGCTCTGGAAGGTGACCTCTGGAGAGTTGTGGAGGCTGGTGAGAGACTGTCTTTCTTCCTTAACTTTTGGTGAAACATGCATACACACTTCTCTCTCTCTCTCTCTCTCTCTCTCTCTCTCTCTTTGTCTGTCTCTGTGTGTGTGTGTCTCTCTGTGTGTGTCTGTGTAGGTATGTGTGGGTACGCATACCAGTGTGCATGTACAGAGGCCAGAAAAGATCACTGGGTGTCCTCCTCCATCATTCCCCTCCTACTTTCTCTTAAGACAAGGTCTCTCAGGATTTTTTTGAGAGAGATATGTAGCTTTTCACTCGCTCTGCAAGTCCTTGCACGTTTGTTGTTCCTACAGCGTGGAGAAGGAGAAAGCATGGCCGTGTATTCCTTTCTTCACATTTCCCTTTGCGTGTGACACATCTTCCTGAGATCCAGGCTGCTTGTTACAAACATGGGGAGGGCCAGCAAGATGGCTGAGCAGGCAAAGCTGTCTTATACTAAGTCTGATGATGTGAGTTCAATCCCTGGGACCCACAGGTAGGAAGAAGGAATCAACTCTCACAGGCTGTCCCTCTAAATTCCACTTATATGCTGAAGAATGCATACCCCCCCCACACAAATAGAATGCAATTTTAAAAAGAAAAGGGTGAGAAGAACAGTCTCAGGGACTGCTGAATGAGTCAGTGCATCTGACCCTGGCTGGTCATTTCACCAACATCCTTTCATTGTCCTCTCTGATTTGGCGATTGTGCCAATGGATAGTGACATTAGACTCACCTATCAGCTCATTAACTGGAATTGACATTTTATTTTCCAGCAGAAGGAACCTCAGAGATACTAGGATTACCACCTATAGCCCATTGGACAGATGAGAAAACTGAGAAGCAAGTAGGAGGTACCTGGATGTCGGTGACACAATAGATCTGCCATCCTGGCCAGCAGATGTCCTTGTGGGAATTCCTGGATGGAAAACCCCTCCGGGGGTTTCGTCCTGCAGGTGGACGTGTGTCGGCAGCACTGGCTTCACCGTGCTCTCCTGCAGGCGAAACTGCTCAGGGGCCAGTGTGCATACATCAGCATATCTACCCATCCTTCCAGAAGCCAGGCAGAGAGGCACATCACTATGCTGGCTGCACGAGACAAAGCAATTTGCATGGATTCTTTGTGAGCCTTCCCTCACAGTGGCACAAACTCATTAAAATCTCATGAAATTCTCCCACGTAACATGTGGAGCCATGCAAGCTGACGCCCTAAAAGTTAATATGTGTGCATTCAAGGGGAGGGGCAGGAGGGACCCGCGCATCGCAGACTGCTCATCATTGGATCCAGTTGCAGTGGACCAGGGGACCTCCTTAGCATATTTTAATTACTGTCTGGATGCCCCTGTAAATAAATGAGCCGGTGGCTGCAGCTTGGAGCAGGCTGGGGACTGAGGCAGAGGCAGAGGGTCCCAGTGGTCCTTCTCCTTGCAGCAGAGCTGAACCTGGGCATGATTGTAGCAGTGAGAAGAAAGGCTGCTGGCCTACCTGGGATTAATGAGGACCCAGGGAATGGGGGATGGCTCTAGGCTGAAGCTGGGGTCATTAAATCCTGCCGGTCATTAATCCTCTGGAAATGCCCAGGGCTGGGGTCATTATTCTTGGGAGATAAAAAATTCAGGACCAAACAGCACACGACCATGAATACTGTGCATTTCTCAGATTGGGATGTGCTATTTGTTAGCAGAGTCCAATCCCAGGAAAACAAACCTCCCTTTTACATAACCATCTTGTCTGTATAGACGGCCTCTATTTTGAGTCATAGTTTAGCTAGCATGCCTGCTGTGTGCCTACTGTGTGCCAGCAATTCGGTAAACCTTTGCCTTAACCCCTTTGCTAGGCGAAGACACTGAAGGTCAGAGAGTTTAGATGTCTTAGAGAAAGTCACACAGCAGAACAACAATAGGTCAGTGTGCACATGACCTATGAGTAAGTTCAGCTTCACGTTGACACTGCTGCAACAGCTGATGACATTTGTCACTACAACCTCTGGGTCACACACTGTCTCCCTGAAGAGAGGGCGTAGGCTTGAAAACAAGCCTAAGTGATGCGGAGTACTGACAGGGACGAAAACCACCCCTATGTACACAGATGTACTTCTCGTCCCTCAGTTTCTTCATCTGGAAATTGGGGCAGTCGTCATGCCAGCTTTAGGGCTGCTGGGTGGACAAGAGAGCAGTTTTCACAGAGAACCGAGGAAAGGGGAACAGTGCAGAGTTGGAAGCATAGACATCTTTTAAAAAGAAAAAGTCAATACGGGAAGAAAGAGTAAGCTAAATTCCTGTGAAATAAAATTACAGGATGAAGAAAAGAAACACGGTTCCAAAGACTGAGTAGTCTTCCAGATTTTTCATTTGTTTCCAAGCACACCCTGTCTAGTTATTTATTGTTCTTTAAAACAACATTGGAGTGTCTTCCAGCATCAGTAGAAGTACTGGTACCCTTTGCTGCATTCTATCCTTGCAAATTAGATGCCAGAAAGGCCAGTCTTGCGTACTGTTTGACTTTCAGATCTTTTGGGTCCTGTCTCGTAAGTTCTTTGCCTGTAAAAGAGAAAAGAGGGGGTGAGGATGTGGTTTTTTTTTTCTTTTTTTTATTTTATAATTTTACAATTTTCTTGTTTTACATGTCAATCCCAGTTCCCTCTCCCTCCCCTCCTCCCGCACTCCCCTTCCCCCCTCCCTCCCACCCTATTGCCAAATCCTTCCACATAGGGGATATCTAGAGTCTGTCATTTTACTCTTGGTAGGGTCAAGGCACTCCCCTAAGAGTCCAGGCTGAGAGAGCATCTCTCCTTGTGCCATAGGCACATGAAGACAGTTTGTAGACCAGGGATAGACACTGATCCACAGCTCAGGGCCCCATAGGTTGCCCAGGCCTTCTCACTGACACTCACATTTGGGGGGTCCAGATCAGTCCCATGCTGGCCTCCCCACTGTCGGTCTGGGGTCCAAGAGCACTCCCCTGTTCAGATCAGCTGTCTCTGCTGGTTTTGCCAGCCCATTCTTTGCCAATTTGCTCATCACTCCTTTCTCTCTGTCACTGGGTTCCTTGGGTTCAGTTCAGTGCTTAGTTGTGTGTTTGCCTCTGCTTCCATCAGTCACAGGATGAAGGCTCCCGGATGGTTATAGACATCAAGTTCATTATCAGGAATGGGCATTCGAGGTGGTCCCTCCACTATTGCTTAGCTTGCCAATTGATGTTATACCTTTAGATCACTCGAGGTCACTCTGGTGCCTGATCTGTCTTCGATCCTATGATTCCCTCTTCCCCCTATTCTACCCCCACCCCCTCAACTTCCTGTTCCCCCATGACCAACTCCCTTCCTCTTTACCCCCTCTATTCTTCCCAGGTCCCACTCCCCCCACCCCTCGCCATGTTCCCCATCAGAGGATCTTGTCTCCATCCTCTTCTCTTGGGTACTATGCATATATGCATATCTTTTAGGTTCTTTCCTGTTTCCCAGACTCTCTATCTGTGGAAGTGCAGACTGGCACTATCCTGATCCATATCTAGAATCCATATATGAGTGAGTACATACCATGTTTGTCTTTTTGCGACTGGGTTACCTCACTCAGGATGGTTTCTTCCAGTGCTATCCATTTCCCTGCGAATTTCAAGATTCCATTGTTTTTTTCTGCTGAGTAATACTCCATTGTGTAAATGTACCACATTTTCTCTATCCACTCTTCAGTTGAGGGGCATCTAGGTTGCTTCCAGGTTCTGGCTATTACAAACAATGCTGCTATGAACATAGTGGAGCAGATGCCCTTGTTGTATGAACCTGCCTCATTTGGATAAATGCCTAAGAGTGGAATTGCTGGGTCTAGTGGTAGATTAATTCCCATTTTCCTGAGGAATCTCCATACTGATTTCCAAAGAGGCTGTATGAGTCGGCATTCCCACCAGCAGTGGAGGAGTGTTCCTCTCTCTCCACATCCTCTCCAGCATAAATTGTCTTCGGTGTTTTTGATTCTAGCCATTCTGACAGGAGTAAGATGGTATCTCAGAGTTGTTTTGATTTGCATTTCCCTGATGGCTAAGGATGTTGAGCACTTTCTTAAGTGTCTCTTGGCCATTTTAACCTCCTCTACTGAGAATTCTCTATTTAGCTCTGTACCCCACCTTTCAAGTGGATCCTTTGGTGTTTTGGAGACTTGTTTCTTGAGTTCTTTGTAAATTTTGGAGATTAGCCCTCTGTCAGATGTAGGGTTAGTGAATATCTTTTCCCATTCTGTGGCCTGCCTTTTTGTCTTTTTGACTGTGTCCTTTGCCTTACAGAAGCTTTTTAGTTTCAGAAGGTCCCATTTGTTAATTGTCGATCTCAGTGCCTGTGCCACTGGTGTTATGTTTAGGAAGTGGTCTCCTGTACCAACTCGTTGAAGAGTATCTCCCACTTTCTCTTCTAAAAGTTTCAGTGTGGCTGGATGTATGTTGAGATCTTTGATCCATTTGGACTTAAGTTTTGTACAAGGCGATAAACATGGATCTATCTGCAGTCTTCTGCATACCAGTACCCAGTTATGCCAGCACCATTTGTTGAAGATGCTTTCTTTTTTCCACTGTACAGTTTTAGCTTCTTTGTCAAAAATCAGGTGTTCATAGGTGTGTGGGTTAAAATTAGGGCTTTCGATTCGGTTCCATTGGTCTACCTGCCTATTTTTGTGCCAATACCAAGCTGTTTTCAGGACTATAGCTCTATAATAGAGCTTGAAGTCAGGTATGGTGATGCCTCCTGAAGTTCCTTTATTGTATAGGGATGTTTTGGCTATCCTGGGCCTTTTGTTTTTCCATATAAAGTTGATTAATGTTCTTTCTAGGTCCTTGAAGAATTGTGAAGGAATTTTGATAGGGCTTGCATTGAATCTATAGACTGCTTTTGGCAAGATTGCCATTTTTATTATGTTGATCCTACCAATCCAAGAGCATGGGAGATCTTTCCATTTTCTGGTATCTTCTTTGATTTCTTTCTTCAAAGACACAAAGTTCTTGATATACAGGTCTTTCACTTCCTTGGTTAACATTATCCCCAGATATTTGATGCTGTTTTTGGCTATTGTAAAAGGTGATGTTTCTCTGATTTCTTTCTCAGTCACTTCATCATCTGTATATACTAGGGCCACTGATTTTTTTGAGTTTACCTTGTATCCTGCCACATTGCTGAAGGTGTTTATCAGCTCTAGGAGTGACCTTGCGGAGTTTTTTGGATCACTTATGTAAACTATCATATCATCTGCAAATAATGAAAGTTTGACTTCTTCTTTACCTATTTGTATCCCCTTTATCTCCTTTTGTTGTCTTATTGCTGTAGCTAGAACTTCAAGTACAATATTGAAGAGATATGGAGAGAGTGGACAGCCTTGTCTTGTTCCTGATTTTAGAGGAATTGCTTTGAGTTTCTCTCCATTTAGTTTGATGTTAGCTGTTGGTTTACTGTATATTGCTTTTATTATATTCAGGTACGTTCCTGTTATCCCTGATCTCTCTAGGACCTTTATCATGAAGGGGTGCTGGATTTTGTCAAAGGCTTTTTCAGCATCTAGTGAGATGATCATGTGGTTTTTCTTTCGCAGATTGTTAATATGGTGGATTACATTGATAGATTTTCTAATGTTGAACCATCCCTGCATTCCTGGAATGAAGCCTACTTGATCATGGTGGATGATTTTTCTGATGTGTTCTTGAATCCGGTTTGCAAGTATTTTATTGAGTATTTTTGCATCAATGTTCATGAGGGAAATTGGTCTATAGTTCTCTTTCTTAGTTGTGTCTTTGTGTGGCTTGGGTATCAAGGTAATTGTAGCCTCGTAGAAAGAGTTTGGCAGTGAGCCTCCTGCTTCTATTGTGTGGAATACTTTGACGAGTATTGGAATGAGCTCTTCTTTGAATTTCTGGTAGAATTCTGCACTGAAGCCATCTGGGCCTGGGCTTTTTTTGTTTGGGAGACTTTTGATGACTGCTTCTATTTCATTAGGGGTTATAGGTCTGTTTAGATTATTTATCTGTTCTTGATTTAGTTTTGGCAAGTGATATCTATCCAGGAAATTGTCCATTTCCTTTAAATTTTCAAATTTTGTGGAGTACAGATTTTCAAAGTATGCCCTGATGATTCTCTTGATTTCCTCAGAGTC